GCAATGCTCTGAGGGAGACGCTTCGTCTTACCCTTCTCCTCTCGCCGCTCGTTTGCCCATCAGAAATAACAATTGAGTGTGAGGTGCCAAAAGCATAAGCAAGCATTAAGGCAAGAGAATAACCTTGAACTCGGGCCAAAATATACAGTGACTAATGGGAAGTCCTAAAGAAATCTGCTAAACAGAGCAGATCAGACACACTGTGTTTTGCAAACTGCTGAAAATACATCTCCTGCCCCGGACGAATAAAATGTATGTGATGATTTTCAGAGGAGTTCCAGATCTGAGCTGGAATTCTATGTTAATTTCTCTGCTTTGTTACACTTGCTCTGATGAGGTGGAATTGCACACGGGGAGGAAAACATGAGGTGCTGTTGAAACAAGCAGCAAACCCCTCACCCTTCTGTAATTCCACATGAATCTCTTTGGGAAATTCAAGCGTTACTGCAACTCAGGATTGTTGACACCAGTCAGCACCTGAGCTGTGAGTGCTTATCCCGTGTCTGTGCAGGAGATCATCCTGAAACGAGCCGCTGACATTGCCGAGGCGTTGTACAGTGTGCCACGCAACCACAACCAGATCCCCACTCTAGCCAACACTCCCGCCCACACTGGCATGATGGGAGTGAACTCCTTCAGCAGCCAGCTCGCCGTCAACGTCTCCGAAACATCGCAAGCCAACGACCAAGGTAGGCAGAACTCCAAGAGTTACACCTCCACCTTGTCCACTGCTCTTGGCCAGTGACCACTGACACGAGCTGATGTCACTGCTGTGTCCTCCCTCCCTCTCTCTCTCTCCCTGTGTGCCTGAGAGTGGAATGAAATGCTGTCTTTAACTTCCTCGTCGTATTTAATTCTTCCTGTTCTTTCGTTTACTGTTATCACAAAGCATTCCGGGGGGGGGGGGGAGGGAGAAAGAAAGAAAGAAAATTGGCAAAGTGTAGAAAGCTCTTTGTTATTTTCCGTAAATATGTGTATGGAGTGGGGTTTTTTTATGATCTAAAATAATTATGCCTAGGTACCTCCACCTGGTTTTGGAATATTTACACAGATAAATCTAATTTGATGTCTGTGCTTTTCAGATACTTTGTTTGTAGGGCATGTGTGACATATATGTTACTAATAAAAGTAATAGTTGATTTAATTTACCTGTCGTAATTGAAAATGCATGTCGCATATTGCATTTGAAATTAATTTTGATACTAATGAAAGGAGGGAAACAGGATTATTAGATATGTTCAAATGCATATTTTTTTTTGCTTGCAATGTAATTATTAAATTGATTGCTCAGATAGGAACAAATTGTTGTTTAAAATCCTGATTCTGCTATGTTTCCTCTTCTAAAAAGATTGTCTTTTAATGCATTTCCAAGCTAATAAGCCTTATAAAATTCTGTACTTGCTCTCTGAATTAGTTTTCACCGCTGGCTACACCTTACAAAAGCTTGTGGTTAGCATAAAAATATCAATCACTAAATGAAGACCCCAAAACAGCCTTTTAAAGCAAATCACCGCAACGAAAAAGTTTTTCTTGTCAGCTCTGGCATTTGAAGGTCTGGAGAGGCCGAAAGTTCACGCAGTGTGTTGGTACAAAGCGGGACTCGAGCCTGTTGATAATTGCTCCTAAAGACAAACGTGAAGGCACCTGACACAGCTGGATCGAAGAGAGCTTTTGTTGGCTGTCTGTGCTAAGAGGAGAGACAACACAGAGTGCTCGCGGATGATTTAAGTAGGGTTGGCGTGATAAGGTTATCTCGAGCTGCAAGAGTTGATAGGGCCAGGGAGAGACAACTCGGAGCAAAGCTGTGCAATCAATTAAAACTGTGTAATATGTGCTGCATGAGGAAACCCCCCAGCCCTAAGTCTCTCTTATAAAATAACATGATTTTTTTGGGGTGGGGGGGTTTCTAACACAGTAGGTTACAGTCGCAACACAAGCAGTGTTTCCCCGCGAGGATATGTTCCCAGCAGTACTCCTCAGCAGTCCAATTACAACACAGTCAGCAATAGCATGAATGGATATGGCAATGCCGGCATGCCCAATCTAGGTGTACCAGGTTCCCCTGGATTTCTTAATGGCTCCTCAGCTAACTCTCCTTACGGCAGTAAGTGTCTATTTTTGGTAACACATCATCATTTAGATTCATATTTACTACCAAGTCAAGTACTTGCATTGTTTTGATTTCCTCTATTGTCAGCTACTGGATAAAAGGAGGGGTGACTCTGGAGGCTGGACACAAAAAATGAAAACAATCAATTGATCTGTTTCTGCCAGAATGCAATCTCAGACAGAGAAAAAAAAAAAAAAAAACAAAACCAAAACAAAAAAAAAAACCACCCAAACAAACCAAACCGACAAGCCAAAATCAAAATTGGACTGCGCAATTTGTAACAGAAGTCCAACACAAAAGAGTTTGCCTGTTATCCAGAGAGTGGCCAAGCCAAGGCATTTCATTTTTCGTTTTTTTATATATTTTTTTGCATATATATATATATATATA